CCAGGCCCATCCTGGGTCTAGGAGCCCAGCATCGATGCACGCGCCCTCCCGGCTAGGGCAGGAAGGCCTACAGTCGGGCTGCTGAAAGATTGACTGCGGAGCCAGGAGCGAAGCCTCTTTCTGGCCCCAGAAGCGCCTGCGTGGACGAGGAGCGCTAGAGAAACAGCCATGGAAGGAACTGCAGAGCATCGAGCCCCTTCCGAACCCAAACTGCGCCTTCTGCCAGCATCTTGGCTGAAAGGATCCTTGTCCCGAGATCGCCCGGGCCACGAAATTGATGCCCTCCGCGATGAGGGGCAAGAGTGAGCACCAAACCCAGGGCTCCCGCAGAGCGTCTCTCCGCCAGCGCTGGCCTCCCGCATGCAGTCGCCCCCTCTCCCCCCCCGGCGCGCGTGCGCGCTGGCGCCGGCGGAGAAGCCGCCCGCTGGCATGGGCTCCTGGCCCCCGAAGAGGAGGAGCATTAAGTATAGATTTTTGCTATATGTATATATATACATATGATATACCGGAGACTAACCCCAATCATGATCTTTTTAAGACTATAGGGCGATGGGGTTATAGGGCCATAGGGTTATAGGGACATAGGGCTATAGGTCTATAGGTCTATAAGGCTATAGGGCTATAGGGCTATACGGCCATCGCCCATGGGGCTGCAGGGCTGTAGGGCTATGGTGCGATGGGGTTATGGGGCTCTGGGGCTACGCGGCTATAGGGTTATAGGGCCATTGAGCTCTAGGTCTATAGGGCTATGGGGCGATAGGGCTGTACGAACATAGGGCTATAGGGATATATGGCTATAGGGGCATAGGGCTGTAGGCACATAGAGCTATAGAGCTATAGGGCTGTAGGGCTATAGGGCTATAGGGCTAGAAGGCTATAAGGCTGTAGGGCTACAGGGCTATAGGGCTGTAGGGATGTAGGGCGATTGGGCTATAGGGCTGTAGGGCTATTTAGGGCTATAGGGCTATAGGGCTATACGGCTATAAGACTACAGGGCTAGAGGGCTATCTTTAGGGCTATAAGGCTATTGGGGCTATTGGGCCTGTAAGGCACCCGGGCATCTGGGCACCTGGGCACCCGGGCACCCGGGCACCCGGACGGGCCGCGGAAATCGCGGCGGCGCACCTCACCCGGGCACCCGGGCACCCGGGCATCCAGGCGTGCCGCCGAAATCGGCGGGTTAACCTAACCATATGAACCCTCTAGAAACCATACAGAGCCAATCTCTAACTGGGGAAAATATATGATACCGGAGAAAAACCCAATCAGGGCTGTAGGGCTAGGGGGCTATAGGGCTATTGAGCTATAGGGCTAACTATAGGGCTACAGGGCTATAGAGTTGTAGGGCTATAGGGCTATTGGGCTATAGGGCTGCATGGCACCCCTGGGCTCCCCCGGGCACCCCCGGGCACGCCCGGGCACCCGGGCACCCGGGCACCCCCGGGCACCCCCCGGGCACCCGGGCGCGCAGCGAAAATCGGCGGCCAACCTCACCCCCGTGCACCCAGGCACTTGGGCGTGCAGCGAAAATCAGCGGCCACGCTAACCTAACCATATGACTACGCTAGGATCCCTACAGAGGGAAGCTCTGATTGAGGAACATACTTATACAAGATTTTGAAGGCTCGCTCCGCTTCGCCTTAAATCTTGGCCCATGGGGTGTTCGAGAACACGAGTTAAGGAGTGGCGGGGAAACTCATGGATGCCAGAAACTCATGGTTCCACAGGGGGCGAGGAGTTAAAAACAGGAGTGTTTTTTTTTGGTGTCGGTGCGTTGGAGGGTTTGCTCTACTCACGGGTCCGCTTGCGGTCTCCGGTTGCCACCGCGCCCCAGACGCGCGGCAGGAAGACCCCCCGATGCCAGCGCCGGTGGGCCGCGCGCATCTTCTCTAGCCAGGAGTCCGTCGTCTCTGTTTTCCTCAGGCGTGTGCCGTAAACGAAGGTGCGCACTTCGCAAACTGAGTATTGCGATTCGTGAAAGTCCATGGCGTTGAAGCCGAGGAGCTCGTTCACTTTTGAATGCAACGACATGCTCTCCTGCCTGGAAGTCAACAGTTGGATCAACGTGCGGCCGAGGTCCCGTTCGCCCTTAGAAACGTTCGCGGCAACGGTGGCCCCGGCAGCCTCCACGGGCCCCCTGTCTGCCAAAGAGCTGTAAATCGAGAAAGCTTCTGGGCGCAACTTCCGCAAGAAGTGAAAATCTCCATCGCCAACATGTTCAATGAAAGAAATGTCTGATATGATCGATTGCTCCCAATTGCGCGCTCCGAATGAGTTCCGGAAGAAACGCATGTATACCAGCTGTGCCTGATAAGGCAGCCAATGCGCGTGCGTGGCAAGGAGTGTTTTTGTCATTTGAACCAACAGGACGGGGCTCTTGTTCAACTGGGCACTGTGTTCTCGTAGGGCAGCGGCAATGTGGTGCATGCGCACAGCAACTCTGCGAGGCTTTGTCCTGGATCCGTTTGGCACGAGATTGGAGTTGTCGTCGCCTTCTGTGAAGCTCGGGATGTGGTATCCTGCATCTGGTTGTCGGCCATGCAGGTCTTCGCAAATAACCAGTGCGTCGTAGAACCGACGGACGTCGTAGGAATCCACCGAAATTAGAGCCGGCAGCTTTTCGTCCGTCGCCATGGTGTTGCGCCGGCCCAAGAGTCGTTTCTGGAGTGTCGCCCGGGCGGCGGCGGCGCCCAGGAGCTGCGCCCGGGACGTCTTTTGATGAGCGAGCCAACTATGCACGGCCAGCGCGGTGATCAAGTAGTGGCCTTCGTTTAAGTAAACAGTTGACATGATGACAAAAAAATGCCAAATTGATCAATGGATGTGTTTTGTTGGACATCATGAGGTAATGTTTTGTGGCGCTCGTAGTGTCCAGAATGGGATGGAAATGGTTGAATTTGCGTTTGCCGAAGTCGTGGTTCACCTGAGGGGCAAGCTTGTCTGTGAGGTTTCCAAGGTTGAACGCGTCTGGCAGCTCTTTGACAGGAACCCAGTGGTGCATGTCCCGACCACCTGTTTTGCGCTTGTGGATTGCATTCACGAAAACGCCACGATCAAGTTTCTTGTAAGTGCAGCTTCCATCCAAAAAGCATATGGGGAAATGCGACAAATCGTGGTACGTAGCGTAGCTCATGCAGTTACGACATGGAAGCATGAGGTGCCAACACGTCAAAACATCCTTGTCACAAACAATGCCAAGTATGCCGTCCGAGGATGCCGTTCTGATAGACTTCTGTTCGCTGGGTGACAACATGTTGCCAGTGGATGCGTTCGCCGCCCCGTCGGGCATAAGCGTATGAAGGGGGATGTGAAAAGGGAAGGCGCGCAGAGGAGGGGCGCGGAAGATTGGGGGAGGGAGGGGGCTGACTAGCGGGCAGAAGGTGACGATGACACAGGAAAGCAGAGAGGGAGGAAGGGAGAGTGCAATGGAGAAGGGAGGGTAGCATGAGGGTGCGAGACAGGCAAGCGGAGAGAGAACAGATGCAGAGAGAGAGAGAGAGAGAGAGAGAGAGAGAGAGAGAGAGAGAGAGAGAGAGCGGGAGAGACAGGTAGGAAGAGGAAAAGAGAGCAAGAGATAATGAGAGAGGCGGTGAGGGACACGACAAAGAACCCTGGAATCGAGTTGTTTTCAAAAACCTGGCGGAGTTCGCGCAGCTTTCGAATGCAGTGGATGCGTTCGGCCCGGCGAATTGGACGCTCGCGGATGCGGACTCGGGCGAATCTCAAGCATCGGGGCAGGATTTGCGGGAAGTGGAAGTCTGCGGAAAGCGGGTCGAAAAATGCGTTTGGTGAGGTGTTCTGGCGGCCTTTCCCAAAGCTGGAGGATGTGGGGTTTGTACTCGACGACGAGCTGGTTGCAGCATACATTTCGGCGTCCGTACGCAGGAGCCTTCTGCGCGCAGTTCGGGCAAGTGTGGCCGCAGGGGCGGCGTCGGTGGCGCGGGTACCCTCGGGCGTCGAAGTCAGTGTCGACCTTGACAGGCCAAGGGCAACCTTTGACGCATTCCTGGGCTGGGTCGTCAGGGTGGCATGAGTGGTTGCATCGGTGGATCATGTGGAGCAAGACCAAGTCACGGAGTCTACCAGGTTCTGGTGGGACCTCGCAAGAAATCACAGCGTCGACCTCCTCGGCTGTGGTGGGTGGGTCAGTGCACGCGAGGACAATATGTGCGTGCGGCAGACCTCGTTTCTGGTACTCGATCACGCGGATGACGTACCGGCGCTGGCCGCAGAACTCCGACTTGAGGTGCCCCATCATTTTGTTCGAGACGTCCGTGAAACACCCGTACCGTGATGTCAGGGCGGTCGGCGGCCGCTTGTCCGGGAGCGAGTGCGTCCTTGATCTCTGGCCACTGGGGGTTACACGTAAGGGTGATGAAATAAGTTGGGGGGCCTTTCCGGCGCGCCAGTTCCAACGCGTCCACTCGGAGCCGCTTGAGATGGCGCGGGGAGCCAGGGACAGTGGAGGGGAGGTAGTACTTGGTGCGAATTGCGCTGGTGGGGATGTGTTCGTTGGCCAGAGCCTCGCACAAATCTTTGCGGCCGGCAATGCGAGTGCTTTGCTCTCTCCTGACCAGCGACAGCCTTTCGTCCTCCATCCGGCAGTGCATGTTGATGAGCCAGTCGTTCAACAGACGCCCGCACGCGTGCATGTGGGGCTGGCGGAGGAGGTGCTGGCGGTACCACCACATCTGCGTCACGTGGTTGCCGGATGTGGACACGGCGTCGGTGCTCCACCCGCGGCCGCCGCATGGGAACCACAGCGGGTAACTCAGAGGCTCGTAAAGGCAATGCGAGGGTGAAAGGTATTGTGGGCGGGAGCCTGGCGTCAAACGGAAGCACACTGCCCTAGGTTCGGCGATGGCGTCGGGGCGTTGCTGCACTACTGCGGCCACTTCTTGGATGCCTTCGCCCCAGCGGAGGGTGACGGAAGCCTGTGGGGCACGGGGCCACACGGATTTGAGGTGCTGAACGTGCTGCATGTGCGGATTGTGCGGTATGATGAGCTTCTCCAGCTGGGAGACGATGGACAGGTCGAGGCCGTGCTCTCGTGCGCAAGTGCGGCGTTCGCGGTCGTCCACCACGAGGTGCCGGACCGGCCCAGAGTCGGCAGCCGAGTACACTTTCCTGTGCATGGTGCCGTGGATGCGAATGAAGGATGGTCTCAAGACGCTTCCAAATCGGACTTCTCGTTCAGGAGTGGCGCTCTGGACTTCGTGGGCGGCGAAGCTCAGCAAGCTGTTGTAACGTCGAGAATCGGCAGTGAAACCCGTCAGCTTTGGTGCGTTGGTGGTGTCGTCGTGCACGAGCCGGCCGTGCGTGTCGGTAACTGGCCACGTCCGTTGGAACAGCTTGAGCAAGGAGGAATCGGGCTGGGGGTAGTAGCTGTTGAAGTCGACGACGTATTTCCCATGACCGCAACAGAAGCCGCTCATCTCGCGTTGGAACAGGAATGCGCCGCAGTGCGAGCATTGGTGGTCCTGGCGGCCCAAAGACAGAGTTTGTACTGTGCTGGAAGGTCGGCCGGGCATTGTGCAAGCGCGGCACACTCCGAGTAATAAGTGGCGGTGACCGGTTCCGAAGTCGTCATGACGGAGGACCAAGCTGCATTGAGCGCAGGCTGCGGTCTGACGGCCTCTGGCAATGCAAATGGCGCAGACGGGGTCAGAGGCGACCGCGCCTCGCACGGCGAAAGCGTCGGTCGGTTTGGTGTTTCCGCAGCTTACGCACGTGAAGGCGTGGGATGACCGAGGCGTCTGAGCGTCCGTGGCAGCGGCGACACACTGGATACATTTCTTCGTCTGTCTCCGCCGTTGTCTGCTACTGAAGCTGTCTCGGGGCAAATCGTCCCCACAGCCTGCGCAGAGTAAAATAGGCTGGGGGCTGGCAGGGTTGGCGCTGGCCGCGCAACGGACGCACTTTCTAGTGGACCACCGTCTCTGTTCCGTGCTGAAGTCAGACTGGGGCCAATCCTGTTCGCACACAGTACATCGAAGCATGTCTGCCGTGGACATGTGTGAGACCGCTGGAGCCCACATGTTCACGGAGGAGTGGGAGGAGGAGGCACGCCAGATGGGTCTTTCGGAATATTATGCGTGTTGTGTCCGGGTGCACACTCTCCCCCACAGAACTCTTGGGGGCCTCCGGGGGCCTCTTGGGGGCCTCTTCGGGGCCTCCTGGGACATCCTGGGGGCTTCTTGGGGCCGAGGGCCCGAAAAGTCAATTCGGATCGGCCGTCTTGGGGGCCTCTTGGGCCGGCGTGGGCGGCTCTTCGGCCGTCTTGGGGGGCCCTTGGGGGCCTCCTGGGCCGTCTTGGGGCTCTCTTGGGCCGTCATGGGGCCCCCATGGGTGCCTCTTGAGCCGTCTTGGGGCCCTCTTGGGCCGTCATGGGGCTTCCTTGGGGGCCGCTTGGGCCGTCTTGGGGCTCTCTTGGGGGCCTCCCGGGCCTTCTTGGAGCGTCGGAAAGCCGAAAAAGCGAGAAAGCCAAGAAACATTGGAAAAACCAATGATAATCAACGATTTTCGCCTCAAGGGGCCCTCTTCGGAGGCCTTTTGGAGACCGCTTGGGGCGTGTTGGTGGCCTCTTGAGGGCGTTCCGGGATGTAATGAGATCTCTTGGGCCCTCTTGAGGCCATGTAAGTCCCGCTTGGAGCGCTTTGAAGGCGTTCGTTGAGCGTCTTGGCGGCTTTTTGTGCCGTCTGTGGTACTGTTTGGAACGTCTGGGACCGATCGTGGGCCGTCTGGGCTGCCTCTTGGACCATTTTGGGTGCGTCTTGGGGCTCCTTGGGGGGCCCTGGAGGGGGGGGTGTGGGCGCGGGCCCCCCCCCCCCCGGATCTCATGGGGGGGTTTCCCGATGTAATTTTACAGGATAAAGGAATATAAACACGTATATAGAAGAGGTTGAGCAAGAGCAGGAGCCAAAAAGACGCGACACCACCTCCACCAGCGCGAGGCGCCACAGGGGGGTCCTTCTTGAGTGGCGTGGCACCCTCCTCGCACTTGAGCCATCCCCTGTCGCCAGGGAGGCGTCGTGGACCCCGTCGCTGGAGGTGGCCCCCCTGGTGGTGGAGGTGCCGCCTCCCCTTCCTCCGAGCGAGAGGGGGCGGGGAAGACGGTGCAAGGACAGCGAGGACGCAAAAGCCAGGGAGGGGGGGGGAGCTGCCTATGGGACATAACGCAGAACTACTCACTCCTAGCACTTGCAACACTCTTGGCGTTTCTGGTCGGCCACAACGCCCGTCGGGAAGGCCGCCGTCAGCGGCCAGACGAGGAGGGGCACGCCGTTGTAAGAGAACTTCTTTGGCAGGGCGGGCCCTGAGAGAGGGAAGAGTCCTGGACCCCAGAGAGGGGCTGTCGCGGGGCAGCTTGGCCGCCCGACAGGGGCGTCCAGGAGGCCCGGGGAGGCCTGGCAAGCGCCCTGTAACGGCGTCCGTGGGGTCCCAGGGCCAGGGATCCAGGAAGTTCGATTTTGGGGGCACTTTTTTCCCAGGCCTTCGGCCCCGCAATTATACACGCATACGTGAATCACAAAAGCTAGTACCATTGTAATGGTAATACCAATAATAATACTAATAATAATAATAATGATAATAATAAAATGAAAATAATAATAATAATAATAATAGTAGTAGTAGTAGTAATAATAATAATAATAATAATAATAATAATCGTAATAATAAAAATGATAATAATGATAATAATTATAATAATAACAATAATAATAAGATAATGATGGTAATACATGTAATACTAATGAGAAGAAGAATCGCAGCAGTACTCACACCGATAGGAAAACATGCGTGTCATATATCGTGCCATGATGCACACTGCTGTCGCCTCTTGCTGCCAGAGGCGACCTCTCCTTCGACGAGAGAGGCGCCCAAGCCCCCCGGCGCCCAGAGAGTACCAGGGCGGGAAATCTAAACGAGCGTCGGGGCCGAAGGCTCCCGAGCCCCACGCCAAAAGGAGAGAAACGAACGCTAAAAGACAGAGGGGGTCCTTACCTGGTGCCCGTTGGCAACCTTTGGGAGGGGGGGGAGCGCTGGTAATAGTAGGTCAGGCATGTCCTCCTAATTACAGGCGGAATTTGGAGGAACTGTAAAACATACGCCAGAAACTCTCAAACATAATCAAACAGCTCATGACGCACAGCAAAGATCATCCCCAGAGCACTCTTTGGCTACTTTTGCACACGATCCCTCCTGTAGACTGCAGAGGGACACGCCCAGCTCACTGCCACTGCTCCAGAAGACGCCCGCGAGGCGCCGGCACCCGTCCTGGCCATAGGCCCACCGCGGGCCCGGGATCGAACGGAGCGTGCGCCCCGCGTGGCCTGGGGCGAGGCGTGCCAGGGGCGCGCCGATCCCGGGGCCAGGGCGGGCCCGGGGCGGGCCTCGGTGCGGGTGGTGCCCATCGGCCGGCAGAAGCAGGCAGAAGCATGGGAGCAGGAAGGCGCTGGAATCAGGTGGGGTTCCGGAGCGGTTCCGTCCGCCGCCTTGGGGGAGGACGGCAGAGGTGGAGCCACTCGATCATTGCAGCAGGGAGGCGCGAAAAGATAAAGTATACTGGAATATGGCAGTCCAGAAACTCCGGTTGGGTCTCCGCCCGCCTCCTATGGAGGAGGGAAGAGGGAAAACCCCTCGACGCTTGAAGCAGGAAGGCGGCCAAAGTAGGCCAAAGTAGACTGGGATCTTGGAATCCAAAAATGCCTACTTTCAACGACCGATGGGTACGGTCGGCACCATCCGAATCCTGAACCCCGGCCGCACGGATGCCACCTTCGGGCCCGCACCCCTGCAGGCTCTCGGCAGGCTTCTGCCCTCATGCCGGCCACAGAGAGCGCAGCGCACCGAGATCCCCGCGGCAGTCTGCACGCGCACGACTGTGCCGGCGTGCCCTCTCTGCGAGGCGGGGATTTGTCCATATCCACCGCCCGGGAACCGACGTCCTGGCGCCCCAGCCGGCGGTGGATATGGATATATTTTGGCCCCCAGGGGCCCGAATATGTCCAGATCCACCGCCTGCCGAGGTGGCGCTGGTCATGTATCCATTCCCGCCTCGGACTCTCCCTCTGTCCTTCACCATGCCGGTGATCACGAAGCCGACGGCGGACGTCTCTTGGATCACGGACGCGATGGCCACGTTGAGGCAGACCTAGGCGACCCAAGGGGCGGCAGAATACGGCCAGCTGGGGATCTTGAGAGCGACATGTCGGGATGGCCACGTACACACGCCCTGCCGATATCCCAGGAAGCAGCTCTTGAAGGTCGTCGTCAGAACGATTGGCTATCAGTGCCGAATGAAAAGCCACTAAGCCGCATCGGGCCGGATTGAGCCCGGGATAAAGCTGAATCGAGCCATATCATTCGGCGGGATCAGGCCAGACTAGGCAAGTTTCCGATCACGGGCGTGCTTGCGCCGATGCTGAGCATTACCTCTCAGTGAGTCCAGTCCAGGAGGGGGGAAACAGGTGAGGAGAACGCGACCGTATCTGAAAGAAGAGAAACAAACACCGCCATTGACAGAATTTCGCGATGGTCCGCGCAGATGTCTTGGATCGGCGCTGGACCCACCTCGACAGGGGCGGCGCCGGAGGCGCCACCAGGGGTGCTCAACGCCGATCCAATAAATCCGCGCGGAGCTCCGAAAGTGCATGTTATGACTTGTTCTCCCATATCTCAAAATTCGGAACACGAGCTGGTGGAGGAGGGACGAGGCAAAGGTGAAGGTGCGCACTCTAGAGGCGGCCTGCGAAGTCTGGCACGCTGGCGCGGCGAGGCACGAACGGACAACAAGGCGCACACGTGCAAAACCATGCGCACACACGCGCACGTGAGGAGAACAGTAACCGTGCTGGGAGGAAGGGGTTGGGAAGATGAAGGCCATGAGCAATAGCCTCCGAATGAAATTAATGACACATTCGGCCGCCTGCGGGTAGTGAGATCCTCAATTCTCCAAACCCCGTCCTCCCAGCTCGATATTTGTGTTCCTGAACACACACACACACACTCTCACGCACAGACGCACATACACACACACTCTCTCTCTCTCTCTCTCTCACGCACACACACACACACTCTCACGCACACACAAACACACACACACACACACACACACACATACACACACATGCACACACTTCTTGGCGTCGCGGCCACGCGCGCAGCGACCCGGCAGAGTCGGGCGGATGCGAGAGGCAACAGGACGGTGCGGCGGCCGCGGCAGGACAAGGGGACGCGCAAGAGGCACCCATGGGGAGCCACGCACACGCGCACAAGTAAGTCAATCAAAAAGCCAAGCGCCAAGATCTGACTGGCAGAACACCCTGGCAGCGTGGGACTCCTGGGCCGCTGGCGCCTGCCGACCCGAGAGCCCGAGCGCGGTCCCTTCAAAAGTGCATGTGCTCGCGGCTCCTCCTCCCCGAGAAAGAAAAAGCCAGGGCGAGGATACAATCGGACTGCCGACCAGACCATCCCAACCCAACCCGAAGGCCCGAATTTCAGATTGGGGGGGTACGGGTTCCACACGTATTTTTCAATGTTCCACGACCCCTGGAAATGGAGGGCAAATCGGGGCCTTCGGGTTGGGTTGGGGTGGTCTGGTGGGCGGTGAAAATCGGGTGAGGATGAATCGAGAATCTCTGAGGTCCAGCGGCTCTGGAAGACGTCTCGGGCGCCGCGGCCTTCTCAGAGAGCGTTCCGGCACGCTCTGAGAGCGCTCCGGAGCGCTCTGGAGCGGATCCATCCTCGCGTCCCAGCCCCGTCCGACCTCGCCCACCCCACCCCTTCCCCCTGGGCAGACCGCGATGCACGCGTTCGGGATCAGGCACGGCCACCACGTGGCAATGTCGGCCGGGATCGCGGGGTCCCACGTGACGATGGTGCCGACGGCGAGCACCGCCTGCGGGTCAGCCAGAGAGGGCGCGGGAGCGCCGGGCCCGCTGGAGCGCCAGGCATCGCATACCGATACCGCCGCTCCACGGATCTCTACGGGGGTGTGTTCTGACCGCCCCGAATTTCGGAGAGTCCAGCCCTGGCGACGAGGGCCGCCCAGGAGGCCCCAGAAGGCGAAAACGTGGCCCTCTGGGCGCGCTCTGGCCAGGATTTCAAGGAGAATACAGCCGTGGTGGCAGGGGATCTGCAGGACGAGTAGCGGTACCGAAGACACACGCGACAAGAAATCTCACGGCAAGAACTCTTGGGACACCTTATTCGTCGACCCTTGAAGGTCCTAAGGTGCCCCAGAGCTTATGTGGGTCTCTAGGGCCATCGGGGGTAAGAAGTTTCGGATAACATTTCTTTTTTCCCAAGCGAACACACCATGGTGCAACCACATGCACTGGGCAAACAATGAATCACCGAGATCACCAGCCCGTGGGTAGAGGCCTGCTAGATGGGGTTGGAGTAGACGGGGTCGGATGATCGCGCCGAAACGCCGACGCATTGGCGATACATAGGCGACGTATCGGCGATGCACCAGCGATGCATCGTCGACGTCGGCGATGCATCGGTGACGTCGACGCGAAGCAAACCGGGCTCCACATCGAGCCGCATCGGCGATGCATCGGCGATGTGGCGCGATCCTCCGACCCCGTGTCCTCCGACCCCATCCAGGATGGGCCAAAAAAAACACCACCCCGCCGACGGCCCCACGGGCCTTGTGAGCATGTACCGTGCATTCCGGCTTTGGATGTTTGCGAAGTATACGCTGCGGCCCCCGATGGGCCGTAGCGCAACGTGGAGGGCCGTAAGGCAGGTTCGCGTCGTGTTGACTCGGGCGTTGGTTTCTGGCACCGCGGGGATCGTTCTTCAACCTTGAACGATCGGCCGTTTCCGAAGCGTCCAAATCGTTCCACATCGAACGACTCTGGGTCGCCCGCGGCGTTCAAAGCTGAACGCCGCCGGCGGGGTCGCCGCCAGTCGACACGACGCGAACCTACCGTAGGTGGGGTGGTGCCGATTGTCGATGAGTCGTTAGGAGGCCCAGAGCGGGACACCCGCTGGCGGGCCGATCTCTTACTCGTGAGCCTGCCGCATCGGTACCCGCTCCTCCTCCTCCGAGCAATGAGTACCGTGTAACCGCTCGCCATCCCCAGACGGCGTGGCCTGGGCCCCACTGGCCGATTCACCCCCCTAAAGATGGGGGACATAGGTCGTTCCATTCGGGCTTCGAGGGGTGTGTCCCCAACTGGGGTGGTAATTTGGTGGGGGTCTCAATGGGGAGAGGGAGGGGGATGGGGATTGGGATTGGTTTTGAGCAGCGACCGACCGTCCCGGCATTCCTATAGTCCTATCACGAGTGTTCTTAGAACCCGAAATGTTCTAAAAACCACCGCAATGTTCTTAGAACATAAGCCCGATGTGATAAACCAAGACTGACCCCGCCAGAAATGCTCTGAGAACATGTCGTGGGAACCACGGATAGTTCTTAGAACATTGTTCGGTAGGGCCCGCTCCTCCTCCTCCTCCTCCTCCTCCTCCTCCTCCTCCTCCTCCTCCTCGGTAGAGCCAGGACGCTTCGCCACTGCCTGATTGGCCGAGCGATACCGAAGCACGAAGGGCCCCGCGACGGGGGGTGCGGCGGGCCGGCTCCGCGCGCGCGCGCAGCCCGCCAGGCAGACGGGCGCCACGAAGAAGGTGTAGCTGAGCGGGTCCAGCCGGAAGCCGCTGCCGGTGAGGACCTCCGCGCTCGCTGCCCCTCCTTCCCTTCTCCTCCTCTTCCTCCTCCCCCTCCTCCTCCCCCTCCTCCTCAACCCATCCTCCCTCCTCCTCCTCCTCCTCCTGCTCTCCTCCTGCTCCTCCTGCTCTCCTCCTCCTCCTCCTCCTCCTCCTCCTCCTCCTCCGCCTCCTCCTCCTCCACCTCCTCCTCCTGCTCCTCCTCCTCCTCCTGCTCCTCCTCCTCCTTCTTCTCCTCGTCCTCCTCCTCCTCCTGCTCCTGCCTCCCTGCCTCCCTCCCTCCCTCCCTCCTTCTCCATCCAACGTCACCTCCTCAAGCATCGGCCCGAGGCATGCTGCAAGCGTATTGGTGTCACCCGGCATGGCCTTGGCGTCGTGCCTGGCACGGCCACGTGGTGCTTGAAGGACATCGTGGCTGGTCGGCGCGTCTTGCACGGGCGTCTTTTCCGCGGTGACGGAGCAAGGCAAAGAGTCAGGCTGCTTTTCGCCGCTCGCCAGGTGGCACACCTTTTGTGTTTGTGTGTTCGTTCCCCTTACATTAATTTTCGTCAAGGTCCGTCCCGAGCTGCAGGTCATGAGAGATTCCGCGGGTTCCGAGCCCAACCAAACCCTCCTCCCTGCAGCCTGAGCGCACTTCGACGTGCTGGCTGGGTGCAAGCTTGGTACCTTCACATGTTGCTGTGTAGAGTGGCCACTCATGTGATAGCTCTGGTGATCAACCTGTACCGCTCTGCAACTTCCATACTCGTGGCTATGCTTCACATGCTATTGCTTGATAGTGATCAGCCTTAGTGAAATCGTTGGTAATCGGCGTACCTCCGCTCTGTATATCCCACTATCGTGGTCCAAGTATGAACAGGTATGCGCTTAAGTGATGAGTGCAGGCATGGACCGTAGTGTGCTGGCGTCGTTTATAGTGTACGTAGGACTCGCTTACCCGCCTTGGATAAGGTCTTCACCTGCTAGCTGCCGCCGCGCACTCAGAATACAAGCAGCATGCGAGGGCTTCAGTTCGTCATCACATTCCTCTGTTTCCCAGCGTAGCTGGAGAAGCTCTGGGGGTGACTTAGGCTTGCTTCTAAGTCAATTGGCATCATCATGCTCACCCTCCCCTCCGCTCCACCCTCCCTCCTCCTCCTCCATCCATCAGTCCTTTCCTCTCTCCTTCCCTCCTCCCTTCATTTCCCCATTGTTCCTCCTCATCCTCCGTCGTCATCCTCCCTGCTTCTCCCCCCGCCTTCTTCTCCTCTCTCATCCTCATCGACATGATCCTTCTCCGCCGTTTCACGCTGTGCGGACTCTGACCGCAAGATCGTAGCGTCAGCCTCCTCCTCCTCCTCCTCCTCCTCCTCCTCCTGTTCCTCCCCCTCCTTCTCCACCTCCTCCTCCTCATCATCATCCTCCACCTCCTCCTCCTCCTCCTCCCTCCTCCACCTCCTCCTCCTGTCTCCTCCTTCCCCCTCCTCCGTCTACTCCTCCCCCTCCTCCTGCCTCTCGCGCCCCTGCTCAGGCGTGGTGGTACCCCCAGCCCACTCCACGAGAACGGCCCAGGAGCGGGCTGGCCCTGCCCGCCGCAGAAGAGAAAGGAAACGTGTGTGCGGCTGCCCCCGGCCGCCGTGGCAGCCGCGGGAGGACCTCCCCCTGCCCCATATCCTCCTGCTCCTGCTGCTGCTGCTGCTGATGCTGCTGCTGCTGCTGCTGCTGCTGCTGCTGCTGCTGCTGCTGCTGCCGCTCCGCCTCGAAGCTGCGGGCGCGGCCTTCACATCCTCAGGGTCGAGGCCCTCGGCCCTTCCAACCGGCAGCGCAGGTGGCAGAGGGCAAACACAAACAGCAGGCAGAGAGAGGAGAAGGGAGGACCGCACAGCGGACACGACATGCAGGTGAGGAGGGAGGCAGGGGAGGCCGTCGGCGTGCTGGTGGGGAGCGGACCCGAGAGTGGGCCCCAGCCTCATTGGAGGACAGCTGAGACCAACCTCTGCTCGCAGCTCTCAAAGTAAGGCCAACGCCAAGCCTCCTCCTCCTCCTCCTCCTCCTCCTCCTCCTCCTTCTCCTCCTCCTCCTCCTCCTCCTTGATACGGCGTGTCGTGACGACTTGCACGGTGGCTTCTGACACCGCGTGGATCCGTGTGCTTCGAACGATTTCCAATGGTGCAGATCGCTCGACAGCGGCCACTGGCAGCGTTCACCTTCGAGCGCCCGCGCTGGGACCGCCGCCGCGGCGGCACGACACGAGTCTGCCGTGGGCAGATGCAGCGCCAAAGACGCTTCTTGGAGGTGCGAGGCCGATCGGCTGGCAGGGTCAGCTCGGGCCAGGGCTGCGTATCGGCACAGCCGTGTAGGATGCACAGGTTTCATCCCAAGGCGGTTGTGCTCGTGGGGAACACCGCTCCCTCTCTCCCTCTCTCCCTCTACCCCTACCTCCCTGCCTCCACGCTCCGCCGTCGAACCGCCCTCATACTTCCTTCCCTTTCGCTCGTCAGCCTTCCTTCTGCGTCCATCCTTCAATCAGTCCTCCCTCCTGTCTCGTCCTTCCCTTCCTTCCTCCATCATTGCGTCCGTTCCTCCGTCATCTTCATTCCTCTCCGTCCGTGCGCTAGCTACGACGAGTGCCAACTCTGCGATGACAGCGCGCATGCACTCTGCCAGCTGCGAGACGCCCTGGATGGCAAAGCCGATGAAGACAAAGTGCAGCTCGCCCGAGACGCACATGCTGGGGCGCAAGGGCGGGGGAGGGCATGGCATCACTGGCTCACGCCCAGGGAAGGAGAGATTGCAGCACAACCATGTGCAGGAGCAGAGTCCCACGGTAGCTCATACTGAAGCAGTGCGGCGGGGTGGGCAGCGGATCTGAGGCACATTGGGATAGCAAGACTCTGGCTCTGCAGATCGAAGTCAGGTTGCCCAGAGTAAACCGCATGGTGACTTTGACCCCCTCCCTTCGCACCCCCTCCCTTCGCGTACGCATCGCTACGTTCATGAGCCGCGTGCCGCTGCTTGACACCAGAGAAAGAAAGAGAGAGAGAAGGAGCGAAGAGAGGTGGATAGAGAGAGAGAGAGAGAGAGACCCTTGAGTGGCAACGCAAGGAGCGCAACCAGATCGCAGACTACATTGCTCATGCGGCGATGGTCGTGACATCGTCTTAGACGAGAGCCTTTGCCCAGATCCCGGCCGACGGCTGCAACACCATCTGTCATTCCGACGGAGGGGCACGAGCTGGCAAGTGCGCTTGAGCCTCATCTGTTGTACAAGCGAGAAGTCTGAATGACAATATTGTTGAACACAGTCCTGGTCATGGGAGGGATGTACACGAAATCGCCAAGGTCACCCTTCTACGCTGAAGCTATTGCATTCGCGGATTGTACGTCATGTATTCGACGATTGCTGGAAAAGGCCGCGAGGGAGAAACGCGTGCGAACTTAAGGATTAACTCAGATTGTCAGCGCCTGGGGCGCTGTAGCTTTGCCGAAAGAAGAGAAATAGAGAGAGAGAGAGAAAGAAAGAGACAGATACACGCAAGGATAAGCAAATTACGGGTCTCCTGGACCCAAGGATGACCCAGCATATGACAAACAGCCGCTGCCGGTTCACGATCTGCAGACCTGCAGGGGAACAGAACCACTCATCTCTGCCGCAATACCCTTCGACAGCTCTGCCCACCCCGCTGATGTTGCCGCTACCAGTCCCGAAGTTCTCGCGCTACCGCTCCCCTTCCGAAAGCCCAGACACGTAAGAAACACACGAGCTCTCGGAAGTCGGCGCAGAGTTCCGGGGCCCGCGCTGCCCAGGAGGGTCCCAAGACGACCCAAGAAGCGCCCCAGACGCTCCTGGAGGGTTCCAAGAGGGCTTCGACAGGCCCCGAAAACGCAAACATCTTTGATGTTGCTTGGGCGTCTGGACGATATTAGCGGTACCGCCTTTTCGAGATGCCGACCACACTGGACGGCCCAAGAGGCCCCAAGGCCAAAACGCCCCCAGGAGGCCCCAAAACGGTCTAGAGAGGCCCACGAAGGCCCCAAGGAGTGGCCCAAGGGGTCGAAGCCGAACACTGACACTTCGAGCCGCTCCCCCCGTCGGGTGAACCGTGTGAAATTCCCGAGCCCCTCCCCCACGGATGGCCCCAAGAACCCCCCCAGGGGCCCCCCCGAGGCGAGCCCCCCCTCCCAAACATGCCCTGGCGGCGTCCCCCGTGCCGCTCCCCCGCGCGCTCCGCTCGAGCTGGCCATCGCTCGGACGTCCATTCCCGGTGCTTTTTTCGGTTTCGTGCGTGGTTCCTTCGCCAAATGATCAAGGATGCTCCTCGATGGTCCTCGCCGAAGGAAAACTGCACACGTCCGAGCGGTGCTGAGCGAGGGGAAAGGGGGGGGGGTCTGGAGAGGGGGGGCCCAGCGCCGACCCGCGGCTCCTGACTCCACCGTCGGACCTGGGCTTAGGTCGAGCACGTCCTCCGACAGGCAGATTCTGGACGAGAAGCAGGCCATGGTCAAAGAATAACCAGGAATGGTCCAGAGAGTACGAAACATCGTCACTTGACCATGTCTGCCCATTCTTGAACACTCCTCCTGTAGAAGGACAGGCCAGACTGACCCCAGGACGTTCATTGATTTGTCCCAACCATCCTTTGGTGTTGGGTCCTCGTTTTGAAGAGACAGCTCCCCGCGTTCCTTCCTCTCCGCCTCCTCCCCCTCCTCCCTCTTCTCATCATCATCATCATCATCATCATCATCATCATCATCATCATCATCATCATCGTCATCATCATCATCATCATCATCATCATCATCATCATCATCATCATCATCATCAGCATCAGCATCAGCATCAGCATCAGCATCAGCATCAGCATCAGCAGCAGCAGCATCATCGTCATCAGCATCATAATCAGCATCATCATCACCACCACAAACACCACCATCATCAACATCATCAGCAGCAGCAGCATCATCATGATCATCGTGATCATCGTCGTCGTCGTCATCATCGTCATCATCGTCATCATCGTCATCATCATCATCATCATCATCATCATCACCATCATCGCCATAATGAACGCCGTTATCGTCACCATCAGCTACACCCATTTCAGCACACCCCTCACACGTTTCGTGGCCCCATAGGGAGCTCCACCGAAGGCCCCAGTGCCACCGTCCACATGCGTCCCCCACACCCAGTTCGGCACAACCCTCACACGTTTCGTGGCCCCATAGGGAGCTCCACCAGTGCCACGGTCCACACGCGTCCCCCACACATATTGCGGCACACCCTTCACACCGCTCGTGGTCCCACAGGGAGCTCCACCGAAGGTCCCAGTGCCACCGCCCACATGCGTCCCCCACACCCATTTCGGCACACCCCTCACACGTTTCGCGGCCCACTCGGGAGCTCCACCGAAGGCCCCAGTGCCACCGCCCACATGCGTCCCTCACACTCATTTCGGCACACCCCTCACACGGTTCGTGGCCACATTGGAAGCTCCACCGAAGGCCCCAGCGCCACCGCCCGCATGCGTCACCCACACCCATTTCGGCACACCCCTCACACGTTTCGTGGCCCCATAGGCAGCTCCACCGAAGGCCCCAATGCCACCGTCCACATGCGCCCCCCGCACCCATTTGGGCACACCCGTCACACTTTTCGTGGCCCCATAGGGAGCTCCACCGAAGGCCCCAGCGCCACCGCCCGCATGAGGCACCCACACACATTTCGACACACCCCTCACACGTTTCGTGGCCCCATTGGGAGCTCCACCGAAGGCCCCAGTGCCACCGTTCTCGTCCCCCACACCCATTTCGGAACACCCCTCACACGTTTCGTGGCCCCATAGGGGGCCCCACCGAAGGTCCAAGTTCCAACGTCCGCATACGTCCGCCGCACCCATTTCGGCACACCCCTCACACGGGTTCGTGGCCCCATTGGGAGCGCCACCGAAGAAGATATTCACAATTGCGGTACTCACTTGGGTCCTTCGCCAGTCTGATTGATATGGGAACGTCACGCTTTCCATAGCAAAACCATCGAAACCCAAGAAACCGAGGGCACCCTGGAGGCAAGCAGGGTGTTTCTTGGCATGGGCCCCCACTGTACTCTCCAGCGCTCGCAGGGCGGAGTGGTCTTCGCGCATGTTTGCGCGCCAAGGTATGCGGGCCGTCGCCCGAATAAGAGTATACACATCTTATTCCGCACCTCGCGTTCGCGAGCCTACCCCGAGCAGGTCCAACACTGTGCGCTGTGGCGGTCGCTGACATAGTCTCATGGTCACGTCCCTGCCCCCGACTGAAGCGGATAGGGTCGTCCTCCCCGAGCTTGCCCGCAATCCACCCCTCGAGGGCCCCGCTTCTCCCGCGCCCAGTGTCTGGCAGGGTGCCCTGCCAGGGCCCTGCTACAGTCAAAACTGATACCAGGGGATGCACGATTAGGATGCAAACCTCTTGGACGTCCATGTCGAAGATTTTCGAGCGGGGCTGGTCATCGAAAGTGGCTGACGATGGGCCAAAGTGGCAAGGATGGTACACTTGGGAAAGTTACCCATCCCTATCATCGGTTTCGACTGTACCATCTCCAGCAAGATTATCACCGAAGTCTTTAGAGCTCACTGCTGTCGACGGTCTCAGCGTCTGGGTCCCCTGGGCAGGCACCTGTCGGGGTCCCCTGCCAGGGTCCTGCCTCCCAGACTAAACGGCGGAAGCGGTAGCGGGCACGTGCGCCTGGACATCGGGGCTGGACGGAACCCCAACTTCAACAACAAACTTTTGGTGCGCGGCCGCTTGACTCAAGCAGCGTTCGAGCGACGGAGGGGCGCTTCTGGAGTCAACGAGACACCCTTCGAGTGAAGACGTCTCCCGGAACCAAGCAGGGCGGGCGCGGGCCCGCAGAGACAGAGGCCGCATAGAGCTCGCGAGAACAGAGAAAGAGCGCCGTCCGCCGACCGGCATGGCAGAGCGAGGGTCCTCTCGGCCTGTCCGAACCTCCCGGAAGGGGGAGGCGCACACGGTGGCAGGATCCGTCGGAAGCGACTGGACAAATCGGCTCGAAGCGGGATGTGCGTCCGATCGTGCTGCGTCGGCACAGAATCTAGATCGGAATCAGATTGGCTGCGCCAAGGTGCACGACAACATCGGGCCGCATCGGAAAGCGAGAGTATCATAATCTAGTCGGATCGAGCCGGCCAGAATCGACCCGAGGCCCGACTCGGGTCCGGACCTGGAAATCCCAATCCGTACTCGGGTCTGTGAACGGCGCTCGCACCAGAGCGCGAGCCACCATTGGAACTGGCGCCCGACCCGGATCTCGATCCGGATCCCCAGGAATCTTCGGACCCAATTCAATCCAAACCCGAATTGGTTAGGCCTTGAAAGATCCTGCAAAATCGTGCAGGATCCTGTAAGATCCTGCGCCCAAACCCGGGTCAATGCACCCCTGGCCCTGCAGGATCCTGCAGGATCTGGCTTTCTGACTGACCCCCGTTTGCATTGACCCCGGCTCTTGGGCCACGAAATCCGCGGCATCGACGCTTCCTGGACACCTCGGCCCTAATTACGCTTGCCAGGCCGCCTCGCCCGTTGCCCCCCCCGGGGCGGCAGCCGCCCCCAGCCCCCAAGGTGGGACCGGCCAGCGCTGAGAAGATGAAGACCAGGACCACGTTGGCCTCCTTCATGAACTGCAAGAACGCCACGCTGGGGGCGGCGGGCTGCTGCTGGTGCTACTGCTGCTGTTGTTGCTGCTGCTACTGCTACTACTGCTGCGGCTGCAGCTGCCGGTGCTGCTGCTGCTGCTCTGGCTCGATTTTACAGAGAGACGCACGGAAAGAAAGAGAGAGAGAGAGAGAGGAAAAAAAAAAAAACAAAAAAAAAGAAAAAAACAGAGGAAACGAGAGAGAAAAACATGTATATCATATATATGTATATATATATATATGTGTATATATATATATATATATATATGAACACTTACAGACATAAAGACAAACATATAGACAGACAGACAGACAGACAGACAGACAGACAGACAGACAGACAGACAGACAGACAGACAGACAGACAGACAGACAGACAGACAGACAGACAGACAGACAGACAAATAGACAGACAGACAGACAGACAAACTGACTGACTGACTGACGGACTCAACGCTCGAAGTCCGTCCGCAAAACAATATAAGCAAGGAGGCGTGCAAGCCCGCGCCAGCGACCCGGACAGACAAGGGATTGGCGCGCACCCCGGGACAAATCTTGCACCAGGACTTCTCCCAGGGAGTGGGCTTCCACGCCCCCGAGCCGACTTCCCGGCAGCGCGGCATCCGCTCGCTGCCGCCCTCCAGCCCCCTGCCAGCGAAGCAGCGGGGCGTCGCGTCGCCCAGGTCGCCACTCGCCGGAAGCTCGGCGGGCCTGCGTCAGCTTGGGGCAGCGCCGCGGAGGGGGGTCTCCGGCCAGCGCAAGCCCGCCGCGGAAAGCCGCCCGCCGAGCAGCGCGTCGCCGTCGCCCCCAGCGCCCCGTCGCCACCTCCGCCAGAGCCTCAAAAGCAGCCGTCGCCAAGCGCCGGCGCGTCGCCGCCGCCTCAGCGCAAGCCCGCGGCCGCGCGCAGCTGCCGCGCGCAGAAAAGCACGCGGCACGCGAGGGCGAGCTCGCGGGCCCGCCTCGAGGATGATTTGGGGCGAGGCGTTCGCTTGGGTAGCGCGCGCGTCTGTCTCGCTCGCCACGCCTGCTCGCCTCGCCGTCGCGGCAGGCTGCGACCCGCTGCCCCGCCTCGCACGGACACGTCGAGCCAGCGACGCCCGTCGTCGTCCTGGAACTCGAGGTGGAGAACGGCGCGCTCCGTCTCTCGGAAACCGGGCGAGGGCTGGAAAACCCGCTGCTGTTAAAACGGTCTTCACGGAAGGGCAACGACAACAACAACAATAACAGCAACAACAACAACAACAACAACAACAACAACAGTTGAACGGTTGAACGGGCATGCAGCAGTCCGCTGGACCCCAAACAAACAACAACTACAACAACAACAACAACAACAACAACAACAACAACACCAACAACACCAACAACACCAACAACAACAACAACAACAAAACTGAATAACGCCCAGCGCACTAAATAGCAAACGGGCAATATCCCGGAAGAAAACAACAGTTTGCCCGGGCTCCGTTTTAGCAGCCGCGGGTTTGCCAGCCTTCGCCTGGCTTCTGGGTCTCCCTGGAGTGGCCCGGCCGCGGCCTGTCCCAAAGCGGGACACGCTGCTCGTAAAACGGGAGTTCGTGCCTCGAGCGCCGCAGCAGCCCGCCGAACCGCCGAGCCAGTCTTCCGTGCCTGCGCGCGCACCACCCCGCCGCCGCGCTGGCGAGTGGCGCCGCGATACTCGTGGTCGTCAAGTGGCTCTGCGCAAACCTCGCCGCTGGCGTTCTCCAGGCAACAATGGGCCGTCGCCGCCGCGAGCTGGCCCTGGGAACGCCCGGGTCTCTGGAGGCGCAGCCGGAGCCGAACTGCCGTCTCTGAATGCGTTTCCTCGACCGCGCTTGGCGCTTCGGCGGGGCAGGAAGGCTGCCGCGCAGGACCCCGCGTGCCCTCGCAGAGTGGCCTGTTGAAGGAGGGGCAAACGCTGCAGGAACGCAGCTCTGTGTGATTTTGTTGCACCTTCTCCATGGCCAAGCCCTACTCGAGTTCGCGCGCCAGACTCTCAGCCCGCGTTCCGCCGTCCGCCAGCAGCAGCCTCTGCCCGGCCAGGCCCTGCCTCGCTTATTCCAATTTGCGCGCGGCGGCAGGCAGGCGCAGCGTCGCGCAGCGAGCTGCAGCCCAGGTCTCTCACTACCTCCTCGGCCGCCCTTCACCAAGAGGCAAGAAAGAAGAAGAAAGAAAGAAAGAAAGAGACACTCCGATGGGGCCAGGTTCGTCCACCTACCTAGACATTCAAAGGCCCAGAGACTAGCCTTCATACGCCTGGGACGCTGGCCCCAACATGGGCTCTGGCATGTCGATCAACATTGAACTCTGACTACTCGTGTCAGCTCCGCCTCGATTTCGAATCCAACAGCTCCCCGCGCATTGTTGCCCCCGTCTCCTGTGGAAGGGTTGCCCTGGGGGGTGGCGACGTCGAACCTGGTGGCCCCGCGGGTTCCCAGGATCTGCGTTCCAACACCGGCCGAGAAAGCATCTCTGAAGAAACTGAATGATGTAAATCGAATAGTTGTAACCCCTCTCGTGGCTCACGTCGCCTGCGAACAAGCTCAAGTCTACGTCTTCTGAATGCTGTTCGTTCGGGGTCGGGTTATGTGTTCTGACGCTGGAAGTGAATCAATCCGATATCCGCAACTGTCTCCGTCCCTAATCTCCACGCCGCATCAACATGGCCCTGCTGGGCCAGGGGGAGATTCTCGGCAAGACGAGCTGCATCCTCTGCTCGAGCGCCTCCTAACAGGGTTCTCGGCCTTGGCCCCGCTGCATAGCCGCCGCCAAGTTCCCCCGATCCCATTGCGAAAAAAAAGGTTCTGGTTTGCTCTCAGATCGTCCATGTACTGTTACTCGAAGAAGGATGGGTACATGATCTCTCGGGGTGCGGCCCGGAATCAACTGTAACTTCCGCGCCTGTGGCCACAGGACCCGACAAGATAGAATATGATCTCGAACCGCCATCGGCGCACATATGTGATCAATCGTACTGCTGTTCATTCTATGTTCATAATACGTTGGGCCTCCCAATCTGTCTGCTGTTACTGCGTCGTACATCTCCACGAGAGCGAAAATATCATCCTGGATCGCGTCGCCTACGATGTGTTGTTCGCCCACGTTGTAGGGGCCCGGAAGGAGCCTCTCTTCCCCCCACCAATCGAAGTTAGATGTCGGGGCATCCGTCGGAAGGCCACCCCTGAGGCCCATATGAGTGTTTAAGTCCCCCAGTAGTATCGGTGTCGATCTCGTCGTAACCACCTTGAGCTCTCTCGTGACCCATCGGAGCAACTGTGTGGAGCCCTTATCCAGGGCCCGTCTTTTTTTGCAGACTCGTCACTCTGCGGCTGCATGTAAGTAGTGATGATACTTAGGTCCATGCTCTGGTTTCGTAGCCTAATCGATAGCCCCTTCCCTGCATAATCGATGGGGGGTGTCGTAACAACCCGAAGATGTTTAGCTTTGAACATACCCCCAAACATGATACTACATCCAGCGCGTTTGTTGGTGTAGGGGCCTTTTGTCCCATCCTGCGTGGAGCGCCATGGCCACCTTCCCAAGAGACATTCTGCTGACTGGAGTCCCCGAACTCGCCCTCAGTCTGGTCCCTGGCAGAACCACGATATCAGCACGGAGAGTCGCCCCAGGCCCGCTTGGTGGAGCCAGAAGGGCGTGTCCCAGAGCTTTGGCAGCCGCAGGGTCGCCTTGTCAAGGCTGTCGGCGCGCGCCCCGAGGGCTGCGGGGTTGTCCTCTGCGCCCCCCCCGCGGCCCGAAGTGCTTGCCAAGCATCAGGAAAACAACCAAGTAGCGAGGCTGCGCATGAAGCACGACCGCGCTTCCGCTCGGGGGCCAGGCCGCAAGCTTCGCGCGGCTGCGCGCCAGGCCGTTGGGCTCGAGGGCGGTCACCAAGGCACTGAGGATGACAGGGGGGAGGCTGGCCTCGACCACCAGACACGCGCGTCACCGAAGAGCCAGCAGTAGAGAGCGGGTCATATTGACCAAAACCCTTGCTGCTTGGCAGACAAACTGACATACAGAAAGACAGACAGACTGACGGACTGACAGACAGACAGACAGACAAGCTGACACGCAGGCAGACACAGACAGACCATCAGACATATAGACAGACAGATAGAATGCGAAAGAGAGAGCGAGAGAGACAGAGACAGAGAGAGAGAGAGAAAGAGAGACAGACAGGAAGACAGGCAAACAGGCAGACAGGTAGACAGACAGACAAACATAAAGAAAGAAATGCAAGGGTGCGAGAGAAAGAAAGGGCGAGAGGAGAGAAGGAGAACAGCAAGCACTACCCCAGCAAAGCACCCTGATAGCAGCGAAAGTGCGCAGGCGGATCGAGGAATAGGAGGTCGTCTAGGTATAGGGGTAGGGGACAGGGGTGGGAGCGCGGCTTTGTGTGCGTGTAGGGATGCGACCGAGGAGTCGATCCTATACAAGGGTCCGTAGGTCCAGGCAGAAGAGGAAGAGGCTAGCTGCTACTTTTCCTGGGCGCTGCGCGGGGAGCAGCGCACTGTGCATGTGCATGCCAATGCCTGAGCCGATGCAGCTGCGGTATGTGATGATATGGTGGGGATATGTGCGGAGTTCACACACACACACACACACACACACACACACACACACACGCACCATGTGCACGCGCGTGCATATGTTACCGAAGATCGTGGCCGCCCAGGCCAGACACGCAGCCGGGCATCGAGGCGAGAGCACGACTCCTGAATGGATCGCGAGGGGGTCTCCGGCGAAGCGGCCGCCGGCCCAGGCGATCTATATAGGGCCTCCCGCCCCCCCTGTTGGGACTCTTCTGTGGTCCCCGCTCTCTTCCGCCGCCCTTCCGCCGCCCTACGCCGAGGGAGAGATGGCAACTACTTCGACCCCTGAAGGCAAGCTTGGCCTCGGCCACGGAGAAGGGCCCCCCAGACACAATTTCCTTTGCCACTCGAGTTGCCCTTGGGCACCGGCCCCTGCCCCGCCCAGCCCCGGCCACGGCAAACGCCTCCC